CGGTAGGGGGGAAGGATGAGGAAAAGGGTGTTGACCTAAGCGTATTTATGGCAGCCTTTTCCACAAAATGTTGCTGGCTCAGGACAGTATCAGTCAGTGGAAAAGGTTACCATAACTGCGCTCTAATCTTCGCTCCCTCACCCTTCCTCCATGTTGCGGACTGACCGACTTTCTGTTCCTTGAAAATGCCCAACCCCCTCCCCCGATTATGGAGCATGTTGGAGAGCTCCTTCGTGGTCTGAGGCTCATGGTTTACTTTTCGTGATCTCGCCGTCTCATTCTGATCGTCAGTAGCATGACACACCTGCCGTATGGGCGAGGATTCTGAAGATATCAGGATTTAGAGCACTTCGGAGTAAAAGTCCGTATGATCCATTAACCTCATCTTACGCTCAAGGTAGGCGCTCATTTTCAGTCCTTAAAAAGGTAGGTGGCGCAGTCCAAAATAGGGATGTGTGCGTGAAGTGGACTTACGTTGGAGAAAAAGCTGAGGAATCCGTTGTGAAAACCTTGAATAAGGCAATCCTTGCTCCAAGGGAGGGAAAAAGATTTGCTGATGTTTTGGGCAAAAGACCAGACAAGAACAGCCAGAAAGTACACGAGCGAAACGGCAGAAGTGAAAGCTAGCAACGCGGGCGGCGTCACTTGAGCAACTTGGCATCTTAATACCAGTATGAGCATCTTGCAACATTCTGATGCGGATCTGGTACCAGATTGTTTGTTGCGACATGGAATACCATTTCCCCACGCCGCTTCGTCTCTTGAGAACAACCGCGGACCGCGGTAGGCCTTCTCATGGTTTGCTTCATAAATGGAGCGCCTTTCTTGGTTTTCACCATGTTACATTTGAAGGTCCAGTGACGAAGGCGTGACGAGGGCACCCATGCCGTTGTTCCCCTCGCTGGCCTAACAAACCTTCATTAGCCCCGCCCACCGCTCGACCCTTCCATAATAACACCAAGCCGTCAGAGAATGTAAGCAGGGAGATTGTTGTCAATGAGAAATCATGGCCCACTACTCAGAATATCTGATCGTCCGCTTTGGCTCTGGAGAAAATTCCCGCGATCAAGTGTTACGTGTAGTAGTATGTGCTCAGTCATAAACCAGCAGCCCATAGGTAACTCTCCAGTAGAAAAAGAAGCAAAACACCTTGGGAACATCCTGCACAGAGACCCCGCACATAGAACGAGGGCCTTGGACGAGTTTGTCGGACGTCGGCAAGCCCTAATCAGCAGGATTCGACGTGCAACCAATTCCCGGCAAGAGCACAGGAAATCACCCTACGACGCTCCAGGCAACGCTATGTACACACGCAATTCCGCTTGTAAGCCGTTGTCTTGCAGAGTGAAAGTAATCGTGGTTGCAATGGTTGCAATAATCACGCGTCTCTAGCTTCTTTATCTCGCCGTTTCGAGTAACGAGACCTGCAACCGATTTCAGGCGTGGTATATTTGAATGCTTTCAACGATGCCAAATGCTTGGAGGCATTTCGCGGACCACGTGATGGCGGGAACTGTCTTCAAGTCACCATGCAGCGTCGCGCAAACTCCCAGCGCACGATTCGAGCCAAGTA